CACTTATCAGTATTGTGGTTCAATAAACCACTACAGGAGAGAGTACAATTGGCTATACATGTAACTTTTCTATATTATCTATTTAAGGAGTCCACTCATAAGTTCCCTATCAATTGCCATACCTAACATCTCTGCTTGAGTATTCCACTTTAAACTCTCTGAATCTTTAATCTGTATTAACTTACTGGGTTATACTCAGATGTCCAGATTATTATCTCAATCTTAGAACTAATTTATCTTTAAGGTAAACTTTCTAAAGCCTTCTGTACCTATTTTTACAGCTAACCTAGGTATCGCTATAGCAGAACCAATACTTGCAGTCAGAGCTGACCATTAAACTGCTATGCCCTTGTAGAGTTTACTTAGACTTCAGCATCTACTTCACAGCATAACCCCAGTACTTTAGTATATCTCTACCACTTTATCTACCTTTTTACCAAACTCCCAATCTAGATAGTCTGTGTAGGACTATAACAATCTATCAGTATATTGGGTTGGCCTAATATCCTTTTCTTCTGGTTTGTTCTGGTGGCCTGGTTGATAGTACCTTCAAGACTCCCAACCCAGAGGTTCTCACCTGTCTGGTTACTACAACTGGATACTACAACCTTGGTATCCATTTCTCCAAGCTTGTCTTTACAGTAGGAATGTTAAAGATCCAGCTATCTCTCTACTTGGGTCTTCCCAAATAAGCTTCTTGTTAACTAATTTCAACTGATTTACATGGCCACAAGAACTTATTTAGTATTTGCACTGCTCGATTTGTTAGTTTGCATTCCTCTGTATAACACTATACTTACACAGATGCCTTATGACCTGCCAGTCATGCTGGTGTGATCGCTATTACAGGTATCCTAACCTAATCATTAGTAACAGATGATTGTTGATATGTATTATGTATCTATTTATTATTATTCAGAGTCTAAGTCAAATTCTCAAATTTTTCAAAATTTTCATCTCAATTTTATAAGAGTTCAAACTTTTCTGTTATGCTTCTATTTTTTTTAAGTTGTTATTCTAACTAAGTCTATTTCTTTTTTTTTTCTTGAAATTATTTCTTAGTTCAAAATGTTGTTCTTAATCTAGTTTTCTACTTTTCTTTATAGTTTTGATTTTGCTCTCTTATAAAAATATAGATCAGTAGAGAGAGTTTTTGTGAATTGATCAATAAGTGTAATACATGCTCACAAAAAGAATTAATAATATAAAAACCTAATACTAACTAAATAAAAAATATACTAAGATAATTTTAAATTTGTTTTTAATTATTAAACATGTTTCTTTTTTAGATTTTGTAAATTTGAACTAGAAGCATAAATAGTAAGATGTGTTCCAAAATTTAGTCTTTGTATTTTTGGAAATTTTTGTTTTAATAAGACTGATTATATATAAATGATAAGTTAAGTACCGTAAAGTTCCGAATATAAGCAACCCTCTAAGCCACCCATTTTAGCTAAATTTTTTTGGAGGGTTGCTTAAATTCGGGACTTTAAAATACTCGATTTTTATTGGTCTATTATCTTATATATTAATAACCAACTTGCATTACAGTACAGTTGATCATGATTTTTTTTTAAAAATCTATAAGCATAGGTTATGCTGGTGGAATAAAAAACAAATAATTTTGGTCTTTGTTATCAATGTGAAATTAAAGTTTTAAAGAATGGACGCAATTCAAATTTACCAGTTTTACAAGTTTCACATAATAAATTATATATCAGGAATGAATTTTTAAAAAATTTAAAATTCGTCAATCCATTATAAAAAAAAAGACTATAATATACCCTGTAAGTTGTGAAATAAAACACAAATTTATTTTACAATTGAATATCTGAATTCTTTTATTCGGTTTTATTGTATAGACTTATCTTGGATGCAAATGATGTACATATGTACATTATGGTATTCTTTTTTTTTTTTTAAAAAAAAAAAAAATGCATTAGTGTTGTACCACATTTTATACACACGGTATTTTTCTAAATCAAGATTTTTTTTTTGTACATACAGTGTGCAGCATAAGTAACTGACCCCTCGTATTTCGCCAAATATCACATAACATGATCTATAAATTTCGGCATTTGCAGAACATTACTAATACTGATAATCTTTACCTTTTTGAGATTAATTGACATTCTATAATTACTTTCTATCGATAAGCAATATGAGATTGTGTTTTTATACACTCACCTACTAGGTCCCAGGCTTGGATATGAAGCCATTGCAAAGTATGTCCGCTGCAGTAAGAGCACTGTAATTAATATGCTTAAAAAGTGGAATGAAACAAAGAACCTCAATAACAAACCAAAATCAGGCTATAAGCGCATTACAAGCAAAAGACAGGATGAAAAAATAAGGAATATGGCTGAAAAAAATTTTGAAATAACAGCCGCTGAAATAAAGTTGAAAATGGAAAAATGTAATGTCAAAGTGAACAAGAATACAATCCGGTATCATTTGCATGAAGGGGGTGCTCGGTATATGAATCTACTTTCCAAGCCTCTCTTTACTGAAAGGCACTGAGAAAATCATCTAATATGGGTGAACCAGTATAAGAACTATGACTTTAGTCATGTGATTTTTTCTGATAAGTGTACTTTCTGTCTGAATTAGCGAAGAAGAAAGGTGTGGACCTTTCTGGATAAAAAAAAAATTTTTAATATTGTTAAGCATCCATTGAAGATCCACATTTGGAACTGTTTTTCTTCTTCAGGTTTTGGCAAGCTAATCCTTTTTCAAAAAAATTTAAATGCTAAATTTATGATTACTATTTATGAAAAAGGTCTTC